ATTTTTGCAGATCGTACTGGACCGGAACACAGGCACTACCGTGCCACGTGTTTGGGTGCGGGCGATCACACTGCAGGCGGGGGGCATGGCTGCGGTGCCATTGAGTGTGCCGGAGTGTGATACAGTGCGTTCCAGAGCCTGACCACTCTGAAACGCACTTTCTGTGGTGTGAACCGGCCCTAAACATGAACTCATGTCCACCAATTAGAAGATGTTCTTCTTGGCTGTTATATCCTTTCCAAACCACCAAAAAATACATTTCGTACATCTTACATATGTTTCTGGGCTACTTTGCAAGTCACGTGACTCTTGTGAACAGGCCTATACTACACAGTACATTGTGTTAACGGCTCACTCATCCAAATGTTACTTGTATTCTAAGTGCTAATTTACGAATAGACTTTAACATCTTACAAATGATATTTTATGCACAGGTAAACAAGCATAAATACACAAAGCTCCTTCTATAATTTCAGAATATAAACATTCACAGTTCCAATTTCTCATTCATCTGAATCACATTTATAGATGAAAACTAGTGCGATGTTTACCAAACTACAAAAATATGGGGAGTTCTAGAAAATGTAGTCAAGACCTTGAGAATGGCACATCGTCTTATGAGATTTTGGTCATGCAGCAACACACACAGGATAAACCTACCAAGAATTAGAAGACTTGTTTTCCCCTATAACAGACAGTTACACACTATGGTGGCTATTGTATTGTGGGCTAAACGGATACTGTGTACTGTCAGTTTACAGCTTCAGAAATGACCAAAGGGTAACATCCTTGGTCTGACCACAAATGACGAATCAGCTCACAAAACAATAACCTAATTTTGTGTAGATCTAGATCTGCATCAAGCTATAAAAAAGCCTGAACTTTTACTTGAAATCAGCTAAAAACATTCCAGCTACATCAATAAAAGATGTGCAGAAACGTTCAATGGCTTTTCTTTAAAAAGCACCAAAAGCTTGAGTAGAAAAGTAAATACCCTGCCAGCATACTGAAGGGAAGGGCCTTTGCTATCCGTGGAAGCAGTGGTCTTCTGCAGAGGTACAACATACCAGATCTAGAGTTCTCCAATCAGAAGGTATCATGAACTTTGCTGATTGCAGGGCCATAGGTCTGATTCAGCAGAGGGCATATCAGACCTCTGCAGAGGGACAATTGCTTCCACATAGAGAACAATGGTCCCACTCTGCAGCATGCTGGCAGGGGACAGACTACTTAAGTTGTGGCTGCTTTCTAAAGAAAATCAACCGTTAGACATTACACATCTTTTGTTTTGATGCACCTGGAATGTATTTAGTGGTCTTAATACGAAAGGTCAACTGGGCTTTGAAAAAAACAAAAAAACCTGTCATGACAGAAAGATTGCCGTTAATGCCCACCTTTGTATCTGAAAATACTAGTTGCCTGGTTATCATGCTGGCCCTCCTGTTTCAAAACTTTGAGCCCCTGATCTAGAACAAGCATGCGGATATCAAGTTCTAATTTTTTTCTGTGATCAGCATACTTGTCCCGGGTCAGTGACTCAGAAAGTTCTAAAGCCAGTTGTTCTTAACTGACCGACAACTATTATGGTAGCTATCAATGTCGTTTCCATTTTTCTCTCATGACAGGTGCACTTTAAAAGCTTTTCTATTCAATTATAAATGAATAAATAGAAGCTTCCAACCCTTTAAGCAGTAACATGAAGGTGTTCCTTATCCACTAATCTGCGAACAGGTTAAGATTTCCCCTGCAGATAAAACCTGCCCAGTAAGCCAAACATTAAGAGATAAGTGCACTTTATAACGAAGCACACTCATCTTTTTTGCCCCACTTTCCTAACCTACCAACTCTTGCCCTTCCACTCAGCAGATGTATACTTGCCTCCATCTGTCTGCTGTCTCTGAGGCTTGTTCACATCCCATGCCGCAAGTCCTTACTCTCTTGGCTACGCCTACCATGTAGAGTTCCTAGACCTCTATGGGGATCTACTGCGGAGGTGCAGCCAAAAGAGAGAGAGCTTGCAGTGCATGATTAAGCAATCCCGGTGGACGAAGGCATCAGATCTCTGTAAGTGTGCATCTGTGGAGGGGGCGGAGTCTTTTAGGTCAGGGGAGGGGGGCAAAAAGAATATGTACACTTTGTCAGGAAAGTGCACTTAGTCTTTAGGATCCAATGTAATTGTAGTTGTCGAATTGTGGTTCTATCATCAACTTTATTTTTTAAAGGATAGAGTGTTGCTGTTGCTGTGACATGAGTTCCCTCTAACTACATGGGGGGTGGTGGTGGCTGTCCAATCCAATGCTTTTAAACCTACAACTGGGAATTATTTAGGCAGATATTTTGAGTAACCTTTGAATTATAAAGCTCTGTGTAAAAAAAAAAAAAAAAGCAATAAAAATATATGGGAGTAGTTGTGTTTACATGTTTTAGCCACCAAAATCATACTGAGCTACACTAAAGCTGAACTACATGCAGACTGCAAAGTATGCACTTTAAATACATATCTGGTAGTGGTTTCCCCCGCCAAAGGATTTGTAATGTTGTCCAGCCAGTCTTATGAAATATACACAGACCTGCCATACAAAGACCAGAGTTTTCTCTACTCTGGTTAAGCAAGAAATCTGGGTCACCTATGTGTCCCATCCTGTCACTAGACAGTAAAGGAGAAGCCACCAACTGAGGTAATCACTCTACTTCATCCCTTTTGTCAGCATGTTACTTGCCAGCAGAACCCTATCAGCTTCTAGAACTGGACCTCTGTTCCCAAGTCCGTGTACTGTTTTAGATGGGGCTAATACCAAGCCAAATTCAGGTAAATACACTTGTTGCAGGTAAAAATACCTTTTTTGTTAATGGATACCTTGCATTAAATGTTGTTTTTAGCTCTGCCTGGAGTTCAGCTTTAATTATAGTCGGTGTTGCTGATGTATCTAAAAGTAGGAATAGAGAGACAGGAAAGCGTAATCACCCAGCAAATATTCACAGACTACTGCATCCGCTCTCAAAACGTGTACATTCAGTAACTTTATACAGGTAAATGTAAGCACGTCTTCCGAATGGGTTTCATTTTCACATGATGTAGGTAGTGGTTTTTGTTTGTAGTCGTCTGTCCAGAGCAGTGTCCCAATCATGCTTTTTAGTGTAATGTAATGTCTCCAAAATGAAAATGACAGCTGGACGCCAAAGCCGTCTGAGGGCATGCTAACAAGTAATGGTTCTTAGCAATAAAAACAAAACAAAAATGGAGTGAGGGTGTCAGGTTTTCATTATAAAATGCAGCATCTCTCCCTTATCCTCTTGGCTAAGCTTTTTCGTTTCTTCTTGCCGTTCTTTTCTTTGCTGTCCTCCATCTTTCGGGCACGGATTTCTCGCATCAAATCAAAGAATACCTTTTTAAAAAGAAAAGAAAAAAAAGACAATCTATTTACCTCCAGCAACCAATCAGCATTTCCCTTCCAGGTTTTGTTCTACCATAAGAAGAATAAAGGGAAAAGCTGGTGGTAATACAGAACGTTTTAATGTCAGACATTTCCTTCATAGGGGCATTAAAGTGGAGCTTCATTTTAAATAAAAAAAACAAATATCCAAGCAGGTTAGAAATGAAAAAACAAAAAACAGCTGCAACACTCAACTTGTCTCCAAAGCCAGTCCTCCTCCAGGTTGAATGACCAGTATCATTCAATCTACTTCCTGTGAGCCCAGGCTGTCAATGATCCACCCTCTGAAGTTGAGTCACAATGTCAGCCTAAGTTCACAGTGAAAAACACCCACAGTTGCTGCTGGAGATGAAGACCTAAGGATGTCATGTTACCAGCTAGAAAACAGCTCAATTTAAGGTATGTACAAGGGGTCTTGTTAAAAAAAAAATATATATATATGTACTGCGCAGCAAGGCGATTGATGGCATTGAAATATAAAGAGACTTTCTCTTCCACAAAAAGAGACCCTTTTAGCCACATAAGAGGTACAAATAATGGAGCTCTTATCAGCTAGACTACATAACACCATAGAAAACCCTGCTAAAAATGTTAGAACTCTGGAATCCTCTGGCTCTTGACATAATCGATTAATAGCCCCTCCAATGGGGCTCATGACTAAAGCTGGCCATACACTAGTAGATTTTTGTACGAACGATCATATGAAAAATCTCATCAGAACATTCCATAATGCCATCAGAGACTTGATCATTGTGAATTGATTTTAACATTGGATCCTGGAATGAATGGAATTTCCTGAAAGGACAGCACATTCACCGTTTCTTCGTTCATTCGAGGAACATTTTACATCCCGCTCCACTATCAGTATTATCACAAACGTTCATAGATTTGACCTCGTTCATTTCTTTGAACAAAATTCTACTGGTGCATGGCCAGCTTTAACCTGTGGCTGGATTCTTCTCCCCCCTACTCTCCCAACTCTCACATCTTCCCTTGCCCACTTCCTCCCATTCCCCCACTGTAACTGCTACTATAATAAAGCAAAATGCACTCTATAGACGCAGTTGCTGTAACCTCCTGAGATCTGCTTTCCCCCTTTCCAAGAATCTTATCTTATCCTTCTCCAATCCCTCTGGGGAGCAAAGTATCACTACCAACTGTTATGCATAATATAGATTGTATAATGCTCCAACATGTACTTGTTTCAATTGTTTATTACAAGAAGATTAAAATAAACAATTGTTTTAAAAAACTGTGTAGTAAGGGGCGGAGGTTGTTTAAATTGGAGATCTACTTTAAAGGCCCTACAAAACTTGTAAGTGTTGGCAATTAAACACCCAAATGGAAACCCATGCAAACATTGGGAAATATGCAAAAACTTCCTGTAAAAGTTAAAATTTGCATACATATTTACCTGAATGCATCTTTGGATCCATTGATTGTTTTCACATATGTTTTTCTGCTTCTATATTTCTCCTCATATGCTCAGTTTAAATTGCCCATGTTTGTAACAGGTTTAAGTGGGATAGAGTATTATTCAAAATTAAAAAATAATAGGAAAACCAAATGCAAAACCTCTAAACCCCTGGTGCTCAACCTGCAGCCCTTTAATACATGCGGTCTGACACCTTGCACACTCCAATAGTGGAAGCATTGATTTGCAAATGGATTATAATGGCGGTGATCTCTAGCAGTTTTACATAACCTGCCTCCAGTCTGACTGTCTTCTAAAGCAGGTTTCTGGTCTTCAACAGTACAACATACACCCCATAGTATGTCTGCGGTTTCTGACAGTCGGCAGTAATGTGTCTGTAATACTTCTAGGGCCATCATTCACTGTCAACTCTAAACTGATGACCTGTAAAGGCTTTCAAACCATCGCCAATTGATTTGGGTTTTTTTTTGCGTTTTCACATGCAGTTTTAAGGCTTGACATGTTTGGTATCTCTTTACTCCATACAACACAACCTCATCTTTTACATTTTACCAAAAAATGCATAGTATCTGTGTGCACTAAAATTATTCTGAGTGCATTTTTTATGGAAAATTTGGGTCTGACAAACAGTAGTGCAAATATCGACATTAAAAAAATTGCAACTGCCATTATTTTTTTTCTACAGGGTCTCTGCTTTCAGAAAATATATCATTTTTTGGGGGGGAGGGGGAGATTAAAGGCTAAGTTAAGTTCTGTAACCATGTTTTCATGTTACACCTATATTTAAGTTGTAGCATTGAACATGGTTACATCCCCAAAATCCCTCCCACTTACCTGGGTTCTTTACACTGCAGGTGCCATTTTTCTGAATTTGGTGCGACAGTGTGTGGCTCTGCCTGCACAATCACGTTATCCATTCACAAGTCCTTCCATAGGAACTGTGACTAGAAAGACTACAAGTCCCGTCTATGACCAAGTACAAGTGTAGTGACGTCACCATACTTGTAGTCCATTTATACTATCTCGTGTCCCTTAAATGAAAGTCTATATAGGCAGAGGATAGGAGAAAGTCTACAGGAGCCAGAGGATTGCACCCAATACCCACTTGGGGTTGCAACTAGAGGTGCAACGAAATGGAAATTTCAAAACCGAAACAAAAAAATTGTCAGGCCGAAACCAAAAATGTTTTGTTTTTTTTTCCAAATAATTTTTATTGAAAATAAAATGTTTCAGGGTTACAAAACAGATTGTAAAACACACATATAGGTCCAATGTACAAGGTAACAACATACTTCCATATCAGACCTCAGAGGGCAAAACGTCAATTGTAACAGTCGGTTTCACGGTAAGGCCAGAGAACTCCAGGAACACAAATGGTCATATCCGGATGCATTAACACTTAAGTAGGCCTAAGTTAGAGCAGGTAAAACAAGTAGGCAATGTCTAGAGAACTCTAAAACAAGTGTAACAAATCACATTACTGAACGTATAGGAAGAGAGGCGGAAGGTCAGACTCAGGAGTTGGGTCAAGCTATAGGAGGTTCTATATGGAATGTCCATGGACATTGACCGTGCGGGTTCCAAGCTGCAGGTAAAATTGGAGCTAGGTGATAAGAGCTCGTGAGGTTAACATCACCCTCGTAGGGTTAACATAGAGAAAGACAGTGATGCCCTCAAGGGGTCATTTGAGTCTGCCCGGGTTGTGTGAGCCCCGAGTCTGAATCTCCGCGTCTCCCCCCAACAAGCTAGCGGTGCAGGAAGCGCTATGGGGGCATAGACGGAGTAAGGTCTGATTCGCTGCAGACTCCAAAGTGATCAATTATATGGTTAACATTGGCAGGTAACGCCTGGCCCAAGGGTGAGGGGTCATACCTGCAATAAGTACCTGCACAGTGGCTAGTCCGTGGGGACTCATACTACAGGTAGCAGTAACAAAGTTGGGGAACAAATGAGGGCCGAAACGTCAGGGCCTGTTATTGCTGCCTCAGGGAACTGCTGCCAAGGTAGAACGTCCCGTAGGGGTCGGTGAAGACTTCGTCAGGATGTCAATGGAAGTTTCATGCACGGGGTGTTGACGTGGATAAATACCTGACGCAGGGTTAGAGGAGATCAGTCCGATGGGCCTTGCCTAGGTGTCATCTTTGTTGCTGGGCCTCGGGACTCTCCAGAGTGGTTGTGGTCAGAATCACTGCGATTGCGTTTTGTAGAGGCGGCCGGAGAGGTAGATGGGCATTGTGCCGCGGAACGAGGGTCATGTAGGCCGAGGGCAGACAGCTTAGCTTGGGTTTCCTCCAGGTTGGTACAGGAGTGTTGTCGTCCGCCATAAGTAAAGGAGAGACGAAAAGGGTATCCCCATTTATAGGAAATTTGGCGTTTGTTCAGTACCTCCAGGCAGGGCTTCAGCTCTCTTCGCTTGGCGATGGTAGATGGGGCCAGGTCAGTAAACAGCTGAAATTCATGGCCTTGGAACATCAGCGGAGCCTGGGAGGCTTTGTGTCTGGCAGCCGCGAGGAGGGTTTCTTTTGTACGGTAGTAGTGGAGTTTGACTAAAACATCGCGGGGAGGGCCGTCCGGTTTCTTGCGGGTCAGAGTGCGGTGGACCCTATCCATTTCCAGGCGTTCAGCCGGGAGTTCTGGTGCCAGTTCTTGGAAAAGAGCTAATGCAGTGGAAAAGAGGTCCGTGATGTGTTCTGGGAGGCCGCGAATCCGCAAGTTCGACCGGCGAGATCTATTCTCCATATCCTCCAGTTTGACTAGAAGGGTTTTATTGTTGTCTCTGAGAGTGTCAATTTCTTTCGTGTGATCCGCTAGATCGTTAGTGAGATCATCATATTTGTCCTCAAGGGCCGCCGTGCGGTGACCTATTTCTCGGATCCCAGTTATCAATGAACAGGAATCCTCTATGAGTGTTCCTATTCATTGATAACATGAGGACAGAGTATGTTTACTATAACTACAATCATGAATGAACAGGAGGTGATGTAGATCACTTCCCATTCATTCATAATTGAGGATATAGTCAACATGCTATGTCCTCAATAATGTACAAACACTCAGCGATCACTGAGTGTTTGTACCCGCTCTCCTCTCTGACACACGGTCACAGGAGGCTGAGCAAGCGGTGCAGGGATGAGAGCTCAGCCTCCAGTGACAGCGCGGGTTGTCTCTGCCCACACCGCTCTGCGATAGGCGGCCGAGCGGTGTGGGAGAGAGACGCCGGCCGCTCACAGTGCTCTCCTCCTGCAGAGCTCGGCCATCACACTTCCCCTCCTCCCCGCTGGGACAAAGAGCAGCACCCAGCGGGGAGGAAAGAAAGCAGAGATGCAGCGCTGTATCGGCCGATATGTTTCAGTGGCCGATATATCAGTGCATCCCTAATTGCAATGCTTTACAGACTCAAATGCAAAATAAATTATAAATACTTTTTTTCTTTTAATAACATGTGTGCATTTATTGTTTTTTGCATCAGCTGGACTATATCTTTAAATGACAGGTTAGGCTTTACACACATTATAACAAACCTAGGAACTTAATAACTCCAGAACCCATATCTGGGTGCTGTAATTAAAGGGGAGCAGTACTATTAATGAAATGGGCTTAGCCATTATCAGACAGCCCTACAAGCATGAAATAAATGTTTAGTGACCTCAGCAAAAAATCTGTTACTATGCACACAGTGTTAACAGCCTCCTTCACTGTTCCGCCAATTAGTAGTGCACACAAGTTGAAGCCAAAAGAGCAGGATCTCTCTCATGCTTGCTTGTTAGGAATAATCACCAGCCTGAGACAGGCCTCTTCCATTTGCCTGCAGTTTGTGGACCGGACAACTATAATAGGAGTGAGCACTGGAAAACACAAGTAGCAATGCGTACAGCCTTAGCAGCATAATGCGGTTTTTACCTGAACTAACAAAATGCTAAATTAAAGTCTGCAAGGTAGCCTAAGGTTGCATAATGGTAACTAGGCATGTCCCGATGCCACTTTTTTAAGACCAAGTACAAGTACTTTCCCTCAGGTACTTGCCGATACCAGTTACCGATACTTTTTCTTTAAGGGACATGTGGCATTTTTTCTAAAACTGAAGAGAGTATCCTGCTGCACTCCTTACCGGATCAATAGATGTCCTGTATATACAGGCGGGTGCTCATATTTTGAATGGCATTGGTCATTAAAATGGACTTTTGCTGAAATGCTTTGATTGGTGTGCTTTATAAATGTTTTCTAAAACAACACAGACTGATGATTTAGGGCAGTTTCTCACCAGGGCTAAATACAGATGTCACCAGGGCTAAATATAGATGTCACCAGAACTGAATACATGTCCCCAAAGCAGAACACATGACCCAAAGCAGTACACATGTCCCCAAGGCAGAATAGTATTCTGCTTTGGTGACATGTATTCTGGGAATACAAGTTTCCAAAGCAGAATTCATCTCACCAGGCTGTGTTGATATCACCCGGGTGACATATGGATATCTGCAGTGGCTCTGGGGGCACTCCACCTTACCGGCGATGCTGGGACCCGGCCTCCTCCACGCCTGGACCAGCGATGCTGGGCCCCGGCCTCTTCCACCGGCAGACCATCTCCGCTGCTGGGAGCCGACCTACATCGTTTCCCCTGCTGGGCCCCGACCTCCATCCTTTCCACTGCCGGGCCCCGGATTCCATCTTCTCCGTTGGTGGGCCCCCGGCCCCCTGACCAGACCCCCCAATTGCCTCCTGGCCCAGTCCTTCCCTGTCAGTAGTGGTGTAGGCAAGAGGACCCCCCAGCTTTAGACGCTGGGGCGGTCACTCCGGCTGTACCGCCGGTAGTTTCGCCCGTGGGGCTGTCCATGGCTTTGCCTGCGCTGGGAAGGAGGAGGAGATAAAGAACCAGGCAGGCACTGCCATGGACAGCTACTTGCAGGTCACCAGCATGCTGCTGAGGTCCCCACAAGCGCAGATGCTCAGCAGCAGCTGCGGTTTAAGAATTTGACGGTATCTGTCTTAAGAATCGGGGGAATTTCACAAGTACAAGTGCCTGGTATCGCCCCCGATACCGATACTAGTATCGGTATCTGGACATCCCTAATGGTAACCATTTAGTTTTTAATCATACAGCTACTCTTAATACCTTTCCACAAGTGTAACACATATATGAGTCAGCATGGCTGGTGGGCCTTAATGCTGGCTGTATGTATAATATGTACGTTACTAAAATTGTATGCGGACACACGACTTCATCATTTTTGATCAGCACATTCTGGTGTCATAACAAGTTCCTTATATATACAAAAGATGTACGATAGAGAAAATACAAATGTGCTTGTACATATGATTGTTTTACCTTATCCACATTGGCTCGTGTCTTTGCTGAAGTTTCTACGTAGTTAACATTCCACTGATCAGCTCTGCTCTTTGCCTCTTCCACAGAGACCTGTCTTTTATCCTCCAGATCTGATTTGTTGCCAACCAGAAGAAATGGAACATTCTCATCTTCTTTGACTCGCAGTATCTGCTCCCTGTACGTTAAAGAAGGTGTGTGAAAAAAACCCCAGAAAATACTTGATATTTCCTTAGAAGCATTTACAACAGTCCTTGCCTACTTAGAAGATTACAAACTAGGTTCACATTACAGTTCTACACAATCTATAGCCAGTTTGGTCAGACGTCAGTTAATCTACTTTTGGGTTGAAGGAGAAGGGCCATGGGAACATAAGAAAAATAAGCTGGATGCAGAAAGGGTTCAAGTATACAAATATAAACTCTGAACTACCATTCTGCTTAAATGTTTCAAGTCAATGACTTATTATGTAGTGAGGCGAGGATTAGGATGATAACCTAACATACCTTACATTATGCTTCCTGTAATATTGTGTATCTCTAACTGCAGTCCCCATAAGTAGTAAGGATAAAACAGCATACACTTGTACTGTAATCATGTGTGTGTATCCTATGATTGTACCACTAGGGGGCAATATACTACAACACGTCAAATAATGTTTAGTCACAGGCAGCAACACCTCTCCCTCGTGTACAGGGAAGAAGGAAGTAAAAGGTTATTCAAAGGTGCTGTGTGTTTGTGTTATTTATCAGGGGTGTGGAAAGATTTGATCGGGTAATTCCATTTTGCCAAATTACTTGGTAAAGTGAACTTACCCTTTAATGCACATTGTGTCTGTTAGAGAGCGCTGCTGCCCAGCTACCACAGCATGGCACACATTGGAATGGGGGCAGCACTCAGCGTACACACACAATTACTTTATTGGCATGCAGATAGCGGGGGCAGTGGGGTTGGTTTTATTTTTATATTTACTTTATTATATTTTACTTTTCTTAAAATTTGTTTTTTTGAATTATTTTTTAAAAACTTTTTTTGTTTCCCCACTTAACTTTATTGCTATCACACAGGAGCTAACAAGCCCGATGTCAGTCACCACTCCCCACAGGGATTCACCCTTACCATCTCCGTTCCTCCAACGCTGACTGGAGGGATGGACGCGGTAGGTAGTGGGCACAGCTGGCACTGTCTCTAGAGAGGCAGAGCCAGCTGTCAATATTGTTGGGATCCATCCTGGCTACAGCGCAGCTCTGTGCTGTCAGCATAACCAGCAATATGCCAGGTTTTGGGTCACAGGAGGACATTATTATATGTCCTCCTGTGACCGTAACAAAAACTAATGGCAAAAAAATTTTGGGCCATAGTTCTTTTCACATTTCCCCTCATTTTGGAGGTTTCCTTTCACTTTTTTGTCACCGAGACAAAAACTGAATAGAATCCTCCCAATAGAACACAAACACCTTTATAGACACTATTCAAATAGACCTTAAATGCTATGATTTTCTTAAATTGTCCATGCATTGACAACCTGATATACGGTTTGTTGACTTCCCTGCAAAGACACCATTTGGAGATAACAAAACTGTGCTAATACATTTTACAAATAGGAATAATGTAAAACCATGCAAATGGAGTCATGAATGTGATAGCATCACACTTGTGAAGAGCTGTCAGTATACATTTGATTGTTTAAGTGCTGGTACAAAAAGGCGCTGTGTGTCACCACAAATGATCCTAACTAAAAATGACAACTGAGCTATAAAACACAAAGAGAACGTGACTCTCTTTATTAAATCTCTTTATGCTATTACTTTTCTGGACAAAACCCACCTGAAGTCTGCAGTAGCAGCAAAGGATTCCTGTTCTGTGATGGAGAAGACACAGAGGAAGCCCTCTCCACTGCGGAAGTAATTGTCTCTGATAGCGGCATAATCCTCCTGACCGGCCGTGTCCAAGATGTCAATCTGGACCTCAACCCCATCCAGTACAACTTTCTTGCGGTAGCTGTCTGCTTTCGTTGGTTCATAATCTTCTACAAACTAGAAAACAGATGTGAATATTAAATCTGATCATCTAAAGTAAAAAACACATTTATAGCGTACTCCTAATTGCTGTGTGTCCCACTCCACAGATGATCATCAGTTTGGGCGCAGGACTCACTTCCTATACACACAGCAGAATTCATATCGCCATAAAACAAGCCAAAAACATTTTTGCCTACCCGCTACCATTCTTATATGTAAAGAGAGAGCAGGGGCCTTTCACATGGGCTCCTCCCGAATCAGAGGTTAACTGTTGTGACATCTGTGTCCGTTCAGTTTTTACCCCAGAGAGCTGAGTGAACTCATGGTAAGTCTTCGGGGAGGAAAATATAAATTGACATGCGTCCGTGCACATCTGATTGCCTCCCATCCGTCAAGTTTAGGTTAACAAAAAATAGAAAAGGGCGCAAACATTTTTTTTTCGAGACTAGGCGGACTCAGAGGTAGTCAGATGTAAACAGACACACATCCATTTACATCCGCCTGCACACAGACTAACATTGAGCTTCCATTCTGTTTTCTGCCTGAAAAACTGGCAGAACAGAATGCCGTGTGAAAGGGGCCCAAATGACTTTGTTAAACATCCAGATCCACAGCCCTCAATATTGTGAGGAAGTAAATGCAATTTTGAAGATTCAAAGTCTAAAGCTGGTTATACACAGTTCTATTTTTTGCATTCAACCTGCAGGCTGAATGAAAAAAAAATAGAACAGATACCTCCATTACAAACGTTGATCGAGTAATCCCCTGCTGTTTCTAATGTATTCGGACAGCGACCACCAGCAGAATACCCAAACAGAGCCTGTTTGGCTGCTAGCCCTGTTCGGCCGAGAATCAGACCTGCTCCTTCAATCAGCTGATTGAAGGATGCCAGGCGGAAGGGTGCCAACAGCGACACGTAAGCAGCGAATTTCAGCCAGTTCACCAAGAACTGGGTGAATTTTGCTGTGTGTATAGCCCACTTTACACTCAGAATCCAGTGCTGCAAAACACTCAAGCATGTTTTGAGCATTATTATTATAATACAGGATTTATATAGCGCCAACAGTTTGCACAGCTCTTTATAATATAGGGATACAGTATATTCAAAGTTTTGGATAGAATAGATAAGTGTGAAAACCTGTTTTTTTATTTTGCTGTCCGTGTCCCATTGGGGAGATTTCCCTTCACTTCCAGGAGAGAAAACAGGGAGTGAGAGAAAATCTTTCCAAAGTAAGGATATGCTCTCTTCCAACATCCGACAACTGAAAATGTTGGATTTTTCTTGTTCTTCTAGTTCAGAAACAATTGCCAAATAAAGAGGGTGAATATTCCCAGAGAGAACACAAACGATAACATTTGAAAAAGTTGGTAATGCTTTTCTACTCTATCCAAAGCTAAAAAAAAATAAAGTTTTGGCTTTTAATACAATTTAAAATGATTATGTGGAAGCCAACAACTAAATGTCTAACACTTGCTTCCACATGTAAGTAAAAGTGCAAAGTCATGGTGGTTACCTCATCATACATAAACTGAAGAGTTAAAGCAGATTTTCCTACACCTCCACTTCCCACCATGATGACTTTATGTAATGCCAAGGAATTCTGCCCCTTAGGCTTATTAGCTGCCATCTTTGGACTTGGTTCAGTTTTTGATGGTAAGAAATATCAATCTGGAAGACAAAATAAAAAGAAAACAAAAAAACCCCAAGATTAAATATCATGGTGAATTGCCTCGGTAAGGAATTGACATTGGCTTTTTAAAATGCATACTTGTTTTGTCCAGGATAGAGATAACAATATTACCTACACAAAAGTAAAAGGTAAAACACTTGACAATGATCGTAAGACAACAAAGTTAAAAGTCCAAGAGAAGTCATCTCTTCAGGGAAGCCTATCCCACCTCAACCTAACCACTGAACTATCACTTTCTCAAACAATTCATCCCCACACAGCTACCTCCTCATGTATCACTTCCCCCTCCCTTTTAGATTGTACGCCCTCAGGGGCAGGGCCCTCCTTACCATCTTGTCTTGAATTGTATTGTGATTGTAATGTCTTCCTTATATTGTAAAGCGCTGCGCAAACTGTTGGCGCTTTATAAATCCTATGTAATAATAATGTTTTATGCCCTGTAAGATTGTTTTGTGCTACCAACATGTTCACAGCTCGTTGTGCTAAAAATATACATTTGTATTGTATACATAATGAAAAGTTAACCTCTTACTGCTTGGGTGATCTTTAACTCACTCTTATTTTCATAAGCATGATTTTGAAACAAAGCCTAATACTGCCCCATCTATATAGCTCATTATATCCTTGTGATTTGTCATATGCCACTAACCAACAATGATTGTGCAGTAGCCAGTCACAATGCAGCTGTCATGGGTCCCATTATTACCTTCATGTGACCATTTTCAGCTTTTTTTTGTTTATTATTTAACTAGGAGATTGGAAAATGTTCTATGCCATGACAAGAGCTAGGGTTACCATGGCTGTGAAATGGATTTGCAGAAAAAAAAATAAAAATAAAAATGCAAAAAAATATGTTCTTGGTTTTCTTTATTAACACGTGAAATCATAATCAGGTAAACACAGACATATAGAATACAAAGTTTTAACTGAAAAAACACCTGGAGCAGGAATTAAACAATCAAACAAGCTGTGTATAGCAGGCTTTAAGCAGAACTCTTAACCCTTGCATTGGGGCTATCCCCGCACTGCAAGGGTTAAGTGCTCATTTGTGTCTAGGTTCAAAAATGTAATCCACAGAGCTGGCTTGCTCTTAAACTGGTCCCTGGTGCCTCTCTCCCCCTCTGCTGCAGTGGTCTAAGGTCTCCGTGTCATCACATTCTATACAGTGTATAGGATGTAAGGATGCCTAGGGACACACCATTGCTGCTGCTGCTGCGAAGGAGACAGGCTGGAGGGAGCGCTGTAACAGCCGGCCGGCTGCGAGGTTCAGATGAGTAGAATTTTGTTACTTTTGCACCTTGCAGTGCAGGGTAAGCCTACTGGAAGGGTGAAGAAAAAGGTTGCCCGGACTGTCCATTCCAGGTGGGCAGTCTGCATCCAAGGGCATGCATTCATACCTGTATGGATGTGCAAGTTCGAGTCAGCGTGTAGCTGTGTCATAGAGATGTACAGGTGGCTGCATGCAGCTACACGCAGCACCTGTCCCTCCCAAACACAGGCCTCTGCATGTGTGAATAAGGCCTTATAAAGGGG